CGCACGCGGACACGAGCCGGCCTATAGCGGGGAAGCCGATTGGCCGAAGCGCAGCTCCATCTGCACACGTGACTTGCCCTGCTCACAATAAATAAACAGCTATGGAATAATGTATAAAAATACCGCCGTGGCTCCAAAGCGCCAACACTTTGAATAAAACAACACTCAGCAGACACACAGGTGACACACACAAAGTGCGCAGGTGAGACACCTGTCAGCACGCGCGACACCAGCCCGAAAACTTAGGGCTGAATATTTTTGGATATGTCCGGTGGGAGGCAGGCGGCGCCAGGCAGCAGCCGTGCGTAACAAAAATGACAGCTTCATGTAAAGCCTATAGGTTCTCCAGTGGACATTACAGCCGCGGCTCTTTCCACTACAGAAAAACAAATGCAAACACACAGTTACCGGCACCCACGGGCCGCCCGGACCGCGCCACACACACTCACACACACAATGCAAAGCGAGCTTACCTACACAGTGAATGAGTTTGTGCCTCCAAGAGTCAAGTTCCTGCCGAAAGCCGCGCCTCTCTACCGTGCATTGCTGCCTTTTGCACAGACTCGCCATTTTCTATCGGCCCCTCCCGTGGGCGCGCACATACTGCTGGGTGCTTCCCTGCGCGCACGTCACCGGTGGTTTTTATTCTAGGGCTGGGTGGAGTGAGATATGAGGGGGACGGGGCTGCAGCATCCCCCTTTCTATAGCGCTCATTTGTCCCACCCACCAAAAGCGCCCCCTCCTCCCCTCCACCCCTCCCAGCAGCATCTCTGCGCGAGGATGTGCTGTCATTGGTCGCTTAATGGGATGTTTGTCTGTTTTAATGTTGTGTAGGGTACAGCACATGGCGCCTGTGCTCCAAATTTGCCATGGCTTAAAGCTATGTGTGTCAAAGGGCGCGGGTGCGCCGGGGATTTAAAATGCGCATAAAGACACTGCATTGTTTAAATTAACAGACATGTTACAGAGCACCTCTCAGCGCGGTAGTAAATAAAGTGGAGCATGAATTGTAAAGACTGTGTATACACAAAGAAGCTTTATTATCAAAAAATCGCCTGAGCGTCATTTTATTGACAAAATACCCTACAGTGTGTGTACCAGCAAACACTCAATCCAACCAGTTAGGCTACATCACTAATATTCATATAGACTAATATTCCTATTAAGCCAATTAAAGGATTACTACAAGTTCTCTTTTTAAGGGATTATGTTGCATTTCCTGAGTAAATAATCAAATTAATAAACACTCAACTATTCAGCCATGTCCACCCATCCATTCCATCTTGAGTGTGCTTTCCATGGCTGGTTTCCACATAGAATTCACCATAACTGACATTTTTCATAAGTCCACATCCAGGGCTGTACCCACAAATACTGAAATCAAGTTCCCACATCAGCCCGGCCCTGAAACTGAAAAGAAAACTGAAGTATTTGAGTTTCATTTCATTGTTAATTTCTTATGTCTTCTGCAAGATTATGGGGCGTTTCTTTCAAAGACATTTTAATTGAAACCAAGAACTCCTGCTTATCCAGCACTACTGTTTTACACCAGCCTTTAGCAGTAGCTAGGCTATGATTTGGAAATTACAGACCTTTACCTGTCACCATTTTGTTCCTCAATATTAAGATCTTAAAGGTTCTGTGGCAGAATATAATATCCTAAGTACATTTTCTTTAGTGTATAATCACCTGAAAATAAGAACTGTTGTGTTTTCCTTACCTTAGAATGAGCCATTTACATCTGGGACGTGGGTCCTCGTTTACGGAGATTGCCAATTCGCCACCATGTTCCTACAGTGGACCAGAATGGACAAAGCAAACACTGGCTTCAGATAGGGCTTTTTGTATTTTTTGTTTTTGAGTTTTTGCATCGGCTGTTGTAGTTAGAAGCCAATCTGTGACAAGCTGCATTGGAAAAACACTGATTTGTAGCATGAAACTGCTTAATTCATTATTTTTACTGGTTTAAACCACCTGGTCCATTTGTTTTGGAGAGGAAGACACCTCTGCGGATAGTTCGGATCACAGCAAAAACCTCCTAAACATCTGGATCTTAAGCTTAAGCTAAAAAAGGTGAGCACAAATTAGTAGGTGGTGGGCAAGCTGCCCACCTACGATGTGCCAACCTGAGTCGGAAAAACCCTGATTTGTGATGTGAACCGTCTTTCTTCACTGTGTTAACCAGTTCAAATCATCTGGGGTCTCATTCATAAGCATTGCACGCACAAAACGAGGCCTGAACGAGACATACTCCACTTCACATGCAAAACAGACTTGATGGGAGAAACTTTGACCCATGCTTATGAACATTTTGGAGACGAGAAATTGGGGACGCAGATGGTGAGGTGGAAGCCTGATTGTAGAAATTGTTGAGTATTTTTTGTGCACACCATCTTTAGCTTTTGTCCCTACGTACATTTTTAGTATGGATCCCACACACTGTTTCATAAATGAGACACCTGGTCCATTTGTTTTGGAGAGGGAGAAACCTTTATGGATAATTCAGCTGCCAGTAAAAATCTCCTCAACAATGAACAGTGTCCCCCTAAATCTTACTCCCTGTTCCTTTAATGCTTCTTCAACATCTTCTCCATGCAGCTCGGAATAAAATTCTGGTGGGGGAACAATGAATCCTGGTGCAGACTGCTGGGTTTTTAAATTCTGGAATGAAACTAAAAATGAGTTTGTAAACTCCCATTTTGCTAAAACACATGATCTCACTGTCCTCAGTTGAAGCACTGGCCCTGCGTATGTCCAAAGGCACAAAAGCAGTCAAAGTAACCTTTTTTATATAATGTTTTTGTTTTTAAAAGGACATTAATATCATAGGTCAATGCACTGACTACAGCATACTCATAACTAGCTTGCAATGGCTGTCAGGGATAAAACTTGTGACGAGAAAAACACATGCAAAACTAGCAAAGCGTTCACACATAAACAATACCATAAAAATGTACTGGAAAACACCCGAAGTGTTCCCATTGATTTGATATTAGCAAATTTAGTCCATCATAAAAACATAATTTTGTTTCTTAAGAACCATGTCACTCCGCCCTTGCATGTATGAGTGATACTTTGTACCTTATCTGCTTTGTGATATTTTAATATTTCTTATGTCAGACTTTAAATGCCTGTCTCCACCTTGATAAAGGTTGGTGCACAGTGAAAAACACCTGGGATAACAAATGGGAATAAATCAAGGACTTAATTGTTTCTTCCCTTTTAAAGTTTAATAGCCTATGTTATATTTTATACATTGATTTGAATGTTTTAATAAACCAACCAGGGGATTCCGTGCATGCATGTGTGCCCTGATTTCATAACATCAGGGACCATGTTGGAAATTAGTATTTACACCTCACATGGTGCCTCTTTGATTGTTTGTCTGCACCAGTGGTTCTAAAATGGTGTGACACACATGCCGTGGGATTTTGTGATAACCACACATTATAATTGCAATGTTCAACTGGGCCTATACAAAATGTTATGAATGCTATTTTTATTGACTGTATCAGAATGTTGTGCACACCCATTCCCTAATAAAGAGGCAAACTCTGCCTAAAAAAATGAACGTAACCAAAAACCTTCACAGGGAACATACACACGGGAATTATAACTGTGTGTATCTCACATTATTAAATCATTTTGTTGCATATTTCATGAGTAATAATTGGTAGTCAATTGTTATTTGATATTAATAAATAAAAACAAACATGCGTTGTGATAAGAGTGACAACACACCCCACAGAGGCTGTTATGGCTGTGTATATCCTGTGCTGCTGTCCCTTTTCCCTCCATTGATCTGCCCAGGTGCGCAGCACACCTGGCTAGAGGAGGCGCTTAAAAGCTCCTGTGCCAGCAACAAAGGAGAGAGGTAACTGGCGTGGGGACTGCTGGTCCTGCTGCCTCTCAGCCTAGGATTTTTGTTGTCTTGTTTGCATAGTTATTGTTAATAAATCCCTGTGGATTTGAGTGTTTTAAAGATGTCTTATGTGGTTGTTTTGGGTCAGCAATGGAGTTTTGTCCACCCCTCCCAAGGTTGGGGTGTAACAGAGGTTATTGTGCACTGATATACAGGTGTGCCTTGGTCAGAAAAAGTTTAAAAACCACTGCTGTATAGAATCAATCGAGCAGTCAGTGAAAGAGGAGCAGTGAAATCTTACTGGCTCCCAAACCAACATATGAATTGCACCATTATATATAATTATAAAAGGCTTGGCACTAATTGTGATAAGGTCTATTAATAAGCAGGGGCCAACATTGAACCTAATGTTAATCATTGTATATCAATAATAGCAGCTCCTACACTAATTATAAAATGCTTGATTAATAAGCTGTTTGATTAGTGTAGGAGCTGCTATTATTGATATAAAATGATTAACGTTAGGTTCAATGTTGGCCCCTGCTTATTAATAGGCCTTATCAAAATTAGTGTGTTGCTTAATCCCCTGGTTTCCTCTTGAGAAACCAAATCAGGGCGGCAGAGTTTTGTTTCATTTGGGTCACCTTGATTCTTTTATTTCCTTCTTAGCTTTTTACTGAATTAAAAACTTATTGGCGTTGAATCCATATCACTTCATTGAACAAACCCTCACCACCTCATGCAGCTGTGTTAGCGCATGTGGGAGAACAATAAATCAAGTTCCATAAAACTCGCCAAAACGCGGGTCTAATCACCAAATTGAAACATGAAATGACACCGTGTCATTAAGAGGAGCCTCGCTGCCGCTTTATAATCCTACAGAGACGGTGGGCAGCGCATAAAAAAAGGCAAGGGCAAACGCTTTAACGGAGGAGCACTCCGGCTAATTAAGTCGTTGAACCCGTTGCCCTCGACAAAGATGTCTCCCGCGGAGGGCTGGACAGCGGGGGACAGCAGCCAATAGGAGGTCGCGTTGAGTCGAGGTGGAGGAATGGCAGCCAATCAGAGCGCGGCGCCTTGCCGAGACGCTGAGGCAGCTCTGCCAGGGAGCTAGCAGCTACACGGAAAAGGCGAAATAATCGCTGAGAGGAGCAGAAATCCTCCAACTGCCGCGTTGTTTTCAGTGATGTAGAGAGAAAGGACTGAGTTACTCTTTAATTAAACAGGTAAAGCGTTTATTTTACTTCTCCAGGCCAGCTCGGTGTGCGTGTGTGTGTGTGTTTCGGAGGCTGACAGCGTCATGCCGGCAGGATGAAAGGGATTAGGGCGCCGTTACTGTGGCAACATTAGATGGAGGGATACACACTCCTCCTCCCGTCTAATATGACAGCGTGCCTGATGGCATTTGAGCAATTATTCAGCCTAATAAACGGGCCTTAGATGTTTCCTCTCTCTTTGTGAGGAGCCTAAATGTTTCTCTGATGCTGCTGTCGGCGGCAGTTTGTCTGTAACGTCATTTTGAGACAATAGAGAGGAGAGAATAGCCCCCACAGGACCACAGTAAACAGAGCTGGCTGAGATGACAATGGATTTGAGTAAAACTGGAACAAAACAGCAACAATAGACAGGAGACAAATAAGAAGCCTCAATGGATAAAAACATCTGTGCTGTGTCAGTGTGTTGCTGCCACACCACCGCTGGATCCCCAATAGGTCATGCAGGGCACATGGCAAACAGGCGAGGGATCCCAGCACTTTTAAAAGCATATTTTCATACTCTTTCTGTCCTATTACAGTACGTGCTACTCAGGGGCGTAAATATAGTCAGTGCAGGCTGTGTGGTCACACTGTGGCCCATGGGACAGGGGGCCCTTAGAGAGAGCAGGCCCAGAGAACAGGCTCTTGTAATTTATTCAGATTGCCACCTTAGAAATACACCCATGCTCAAAGAGGATTAATTAGTTTTCTGTAACTGCTTATCCTGTTGGGGTCGTGGAGGGGATGGAGCCTATCCCAGCTGACACTGGGCGAGAGGTGGGGTATCGCAGGGCTGACACATAGAGACAGACAACCATTCACACTCACATTCACACCTACGGACAATTTAGAGTCACCAATTAACCTGCATGTCTTTGGACTGTGGGAGGAAGCTGGAGCACCTGGAGGAAACCCAGAAGAACATGCAAACTCCGCACAGAAGAGCTCCCCCACCCAGGGTTCGAACCTGGAACCCTCTTACTGTGAGGCAACAGTGCCAAATGCACTCATGTTTAATTAAAAAAGTGCTAAAGGCAAACCCATCTCCATCATGGTTTCTTTTTTTGTTTTTTGTTTTTGTAAATAGAGACTCAGTATAAATCTGTTCTACAATAAAATTATGTTTTTACTTTACATAAACTATAAAAAATATTTAATTGAATAAGTACTTTCTAACTAGTACTATCTGTCACTCAGTTATTACTTTCTTAGGCAGCACAGTGGTGCAGTGGTTAGCATTGTCGCCTCAGCGCAAGAGAGTGGGGGTGAGTCCACTCTCCTGCGCTGAGGCGAAAGAGAGTGGGGGTGAGTCCATATTCTCCCCGTGTCAGCGTGGGTTTCCTCCAGGTGCTCCAGCTTCCTCCCACAGTCCAAAGACATGCAGGTTAACTGGTGACTCTAAATTGTCCGTAGGTGTGAATGTGAGTGTGAATGGTTGTCTATGTCTATGTGTCAGCCCTGTGATAGTCTGGTGACCTGTCCAGATCTCGCCCAGTGTCAGCTGGGATAGGCTCCAGCCCGATATGATTATATGTGTGTAAAAAAAAAAAAAAGAAACATTATGAATGTTTAATGATAAATTTAAATACAAATCTAAAACCAATTGTTAAATTTAAATGGGTCGCTGAATGTGAAGCTAAATACTTAGATAAATTATGTAAGTAGCAAAAGCCCAGACTGCTCTGATTGGTCAGCGTTTCTGAATCTGACATATCTTGGCATTTCTGCACCGTTATTACAGATAAGAAATGTCTGTGACGGAGAATAGCCACAAAAAATGACCAATAAAAGTGATCTAAAATCAAACATGTTCCAGCAGGAATGTAATCCGAAATCTTGACAGAATCAAAATAAAACTCACCAAAACTGTCTCAGGGTTCTTTCAAATCTGCCCTGTTTGGTTTGGTTTAATCAAAATCAAGTTCGTTAGGGCAGGTGTGAACACAGCAATCACACTCAGGTGTGCACCAAAACAACCGGACTGAGACCTTCTTGTAGAGGTGGTCTTGGTCCAGTTACAAACGAACTCTGGTGCGGTTCGTTTGTGGTGAGAAGGTGTTTCGACCTGGATCTGAAGCAACTGCAGTCACATGACACATTGTTTGGGTTAAACATGAGCATGTTACAGTCCTGGAGGATTATTAATGTGCACCTCCTCCTGTACTGCCTTAATATGCACATTCAGCACATCCAATGCATCAAAACATTGTTTTCTAGTTGGAGCCGCGCCTCGTTTTCAAACTGTATGGTTTGACTAAAATGAACAATGACAGCAATATAGTCCATGATGAGCAGCGCTAAAATCAACCTGCGTAGTTGTCCCTCCATTGTGACATTAGAAAGTGTCACATTGATCTTGCAAGTGTACTCTTCTTCAACATTTGCTTTACTTCCTGGATTTTTCCAACATGGAAATTCTGACAAATCAAGAGCAGCATTCTCAAACAAGGCATTTGATCTGGTCCTCTTGTAAATGCTGCCGTGAGAACACGAACCAACTCTAGGCAATTATACAACTTTGGAACAACATGAGTCCCTGATTCAGACCAAAGGAGACAACTCTAGGACTGAAAGCACCCTTAGTCTTGTTAGTCACTGGTCCAACAATCACCAGCTCTGGTTTAGTCGAAATAAACCTTTAATTCACTGAGTTACATGTGAAAATATGCTGATGTGCATGCTGTGTATCCCTGTGGTCTTTGCCTGTCAGCTGTCGCTGAGCAGCGTCTCTCCCCTGAGGACAGAATCAAGCAAGTGGGTTCATTGGACTAAGTGGAGCAGAGAGAGAGAGAACTGGACCTGGAGCCCATCTGTCTCAAAGGACACACAGGAGAGCTGGTCAGTGTCAGCCTGACTTCAACCCCATCCAATAGCTGATGAGTCGATTGGCAGAAAATTAAAGTCAACAATTTCATAATTGAAACAAAAATGCCAAAAGTTTGCTGCTTCCAGCTTCTCAAATCTGAGGGTTTTCTGATCTACTGTGTTTTAAATCACAGTAACATTATCTCTTTGGTTTTTAGACTTTTGGTCAAACAAAAACATTTTCAATTTCAGCTTCAACATTTTATCACTGTGACTGATTTCAACTGTGAGCCAAGCTCTTTTTTTTTGCCCCATATCAGTGTTGGACCTCACTAATGCTCTTATGCCTGCACACAAGAAAATCCCTGCAGCCGGGATCCAAAATCATGTGGCAAGCCTGAAACCAGAACAGTGGAGGCTGTCACAGCAGCACATTAATGCTCTTGTTAAGGAATGAGATGTTCTACACTCACACATTTCTTAAAGTTGGGGTGTCCACATACTTGTAGCCATACAGTGTCTGATGACTTCCCTGGGAGTTAGTGCAGTGAAAAGTAGGGTTGTTGAGGCTTTTGTATGTAGTTTCCATGACTGGCTGCATAATCTGGGCATGATTAATGCTGCAAACACACAGCCGTGTTCAAAACCTAGCAATTAACCCATGGTGGGCTGAAAGGTTGACACAGCATCAGATGAACTCTCGGCTCTGCGCGTGTGCGTCACAGTGTCAGAGCCACAGGTGATCAGCTCCGGGTTCTGATGATGGTTTTTGTGTGTTGTTATCATGTGTGCCAGCAGGACCCATGACCCTGACACGAGGTTCCTTCAGCTACTCCAATGGCGAGGAGTATCACGGCGAATGGAAAGAAGGCAAGGCTGACCTGCTCACTCTCATTCATCCATACTCCATCACGGCCTACATTTGCATGCGCAGCACAAGTGTAGTTATTATGTGATTAACACAACAATGCATGTAAAGCAGCGCCTGTCTAAACACAATATTTGTATTTGCTTCATGTAATAATGCTCTTAAGGGAAGTACGCATAATCACAGTAACATATCTGGAGTGCTCAGAGTTTATTTGCATTAACAGACAACAGCTGGGACATGTATACAGCTTTAAGGGGACCTACAATTCATACTTGTATTTTGGGTTTCTACTACAGTGTGTTTACATGGGTCAGTGTTCAAAAAGCACTTCATTTTCCTCATACTGTCAGTGCCAGAACAGCTCTGTCTGAAACATCTTTAAACCCTCCCGCTACAAAAGCCAAGTCTGCTCTGATTGGTCAGTGTTTATGGGTTTTACATATCTTGGCATTTCTGAACTGTCATAGAGTGTGCCAGGGCTGACGTCAAAACCCGGAAGTTTAGCATCGCGCTGGTTCCCGGAAGAGAAAGTGAATGTGATTTTTGCATTGCGTTTTAGATTATGTCAGAAAATAAGCTCTGTGGCTAACACAAGTTTATGATACTTACAGGTTTTGTTCAGCGAGATAATCTTCACATATGAACACCTTTCATACCACATTTGAAGCTTAAATGCGATCACCAGAAGTAAAAAGCTAAAGTTTGGCTTTAACGGACTACATGACTACTCCACGGTTGCATGACTCTTGACGTCACCGCCACTAAGCTTTCAACTGATTTCGTCCGCTTTATTTTAAAAACATTGTATGATGGGGAAATCGGACTGTTTAAGCTAAATAAGAAGCTGTAATGGCGGACTGCCAGCACTGTCGCCTGTTCGGGGGTGATGACGTTTAATGTCCCCGACAGGGTTTGTAGTCGTATTGAGCAACTTGTAAGCAACCGCCTTTTTTACGACACGTAAAAGCTTCAAAATTCACAAGTAGGGTATTTACTGACGTATCACAGACCTTATTTGAAGCATTTTACCAAAATCCCATTCAAAAAACGTATTGACTTTTAGACGAGAGAACCGGAAGTGCTAAAAGCGCTAACGGAGTTCCGGGTTTACTGGCACACTCTATTACAGATAGGAACTGTCTGTGACAGAGAATAGCAGCACTTTATACCACGAAAAATCACTAATAAAGGCTACTGAAAAAAATCAAACATGTTCCAGCAGGAATACGATCCAAAATCTGGAAGAAAAAATAACAACATCAGCACCGGAGATTACATGTTTCCCAAGCCCGGTCTCACTCTGAAGTCGTCGAAATCCGGCACTTGGGCAGTGACTTGCGGCGTCCTTTAACGTCAGTATGATATGCGGCTGGTTGCCGTTATAGTTTAACGGCGCTCGGAGGTATCAGGGGGAAATGCGGTGGGATGAGGACAAAAGTTAAGGCGGTGAAATTTCAACTGGGGCAAGCAGGAGGGGTGGTGAATGGGTCCAACAGAAACGGACTTTCACCCTAGAGAGCAGTGTTTGTATCCTGTAAGATTCTAAAGCCAAACCCTATTCTTCATTCCTAAACCCAAACACGTGTTTTTGTTGTTGAAGGAAGAAAAACATCAATTTGTGTTGTTGTCCTGACATAGTGTGTTTATTTTGAAAGAGACTGTATGTAAACTGTAAATTTCTTGCTAAATCTGAAGTGTGTTTTGAAAGAAGACAATGCATGTAACAGGCAGACGTTGACACCATGTCCTAGAACGTCAACAGCCAACGCACCCAGGGTACCTTGCACGTCGTATGTGGACGTGGAAAGCCCATGACCAAACATCAATATATGACAAGGTTGGAGTCACAATGTGTTGGTTTCCCTGACGTTAGCATGTAGCTACATGTAGCAGTGTATGTCAAGTGAATACTTGCAGTAGCGTGCCTCGAGCAGATGACCACATAAAATAAAATTTGCCATGAGCTGACATCAGCTTGTAATCAAAGTAGATAAACCATTAGAAGCAGAGTATTCAGAGCAGTCTGAAGCCTGAGGTTTTTGCTCACAGAGATTAACTACTTCTACAAACTTTGGTTTGGTTTGAAGTAAGGCTGGATGATATAACGACTATACGATATACAGACATATTTTCAGGCAAGAATTAAACAATATTGTTTATATCGATATAGGGTCAAGTCGTCTTACATAACGCCTCTCACATCTCTCGCTCCTTCTTTTCCTCAGTATCTCTGGTGATGCTATATGCATAAATAAGATTAATAACCTAAATAAATAAAAATATTTAAATCATTTTCCAGCACTAGATTGATTTGAAACACCATGGAAAACAACTCTGTAACTTCCCCTACAAAGATATTTAATTGTTTCAGATGACATGGATTTACAGTAGGCCCACTTAATACTTTTATACTCATGTTGTAGTTTTAAACCTCGGTAGTTCCAGCGCTTTGTGCAGAAAGTTAACGTACAACCCTGCTATTTATTTTATATCATTTTCATTTACATGTTTTTCATTCGTATTTTATTTTGATCACAGTCTGTTTTTATAAAAGTGCATGTGAAATCTCAAATGTGGCTTTGACTTGCAGCTGAAAACATGTAGCCCATTTCTTAGAAAATACCAAGATATATATCGTGTATTGCCATTCAGCCTGAAAATACAGAGATATGAATTTTTGTCTGTATCACCCAGCCCTATTTTGAAGCCATTTTTAATATTAACATCCGCCACTGTGACATTATATGTAAGACAGACAATAAGGTCCTCTTTAATGGCATTTCATGATAAGAGGTTATTTTGACTATGTGCTTGGCGCTTTGTATGGATATCTTTCTGGGTTTAAATAGATGTTAGCACTGTCAAGGTGACCATTTCAACACATTTGGGTCCGTTAAATGATTAAAATAATAGTCATGTAAATGGACTGAGTTTGGGCAGTTGTCATGTCATGCAAGTAGCTTTCTGGCCTCTGTTAGGCTTTTCTTGTATCCTGTTTTTCTATGTACACCTGCACAGTCAGAAGACCAACAAGGACTTATCAGAATCACATCAGTTATCAGTAACAGAGAGGCCAATTCATAGTCTCTGCGTGGTCAAAGGTCACAGCAGTTAAGAGCCAGAGGATAAAAAGGGGTCCTTAGGTGCGTCTTAAAAGCATCAACAGACTCAGCCTGCCTAATGCCCTCTGGGAGGCTATTTTTGTCAGATATGTAATGATGATTGTTGGGTAATTTGTATGCTGATGATGTCCAGTGTCAGGTCTCTATTAATGTGAAGACAATACATGCACAACAGTGTGCTCTAGGGCCTATCGTAACTTCCTTACACCACAGGAAGAGCTGCTGTAGAAAAGCCCCATCCCCGGTTTTGCACAAATGGGGCAGCCAACATGCCACAGTGGGTGGATCCTAGTGATCTGGGTGGTGCTGTAAGGCTATAGGGGCAAGACCTTGGAACAGTTCATAGACAATTAAAAGGATTTTTTAATGAACGTTAAAAAATAAGATCGGATATGATAAAGTGCTATGCTGCTAAGTGTGAGTTAATAGTGCATAGGTGCAAGAAAAGCTACATCCCGTGGGTGGCAGGCCGACACAGCAGCATACGTCTTTAGGCTGAACCCTGTCTCTCCCCATGGGTACAGACGCAGCCACTAGGCACCTGTCTGTGAGCTCCCCATAGAGGCTTGGATCCCAAATGGGGCCCTGGTCTACAATATCTAGGCAAGGTCATTCATTCCCAAAGATATCGGTCCACAGCTTTGAATCACTTTTAATCTGGCACCTCACTGGGGACCAGTTTACCATATGAGGCCTATTTAAGTCTCTTCAGTCACATTAACGGGTAGAAGTGAAGTCTTTATGGAAAAGGAGTAACAGTTGGTTCCCAAAGAGAAAATTAAATCATAATCTTAAAACCTCCTTCGCACTTCCACTTAAGTTGATATAAACATAACCTGTGGAGTTTTTTTCCGTAGCGCTATGGAGCAGTTTGTTTTATGAGTGGTTCATTGTTATGTTTGTCTAATGTATATATGTATATTGGGTGATGTGGTACACAACCCTGCCACATTATTCCACTGATCTACAAGTGATGCTAAAGGAACTGTGTGTAAGATTTAGGAGGATTTAGAGGCGTCTAGTGGTGAAGATTGCAGATTGCAACCAGCTGAAACTTCAGAAGCTGAATTATCTACAGTGGTCTCTTCCTCTCCAAAACAAATAGAACAGGCGATTCAAACCGGTAAAAACACAGAATAAAGCAGTTTGATACTATGAAAAATCGGGGGTCTGCCCCCAGAGGCTGTATCGCCGTCTGCCAGAAGTCAGACGCCGAATACAGCCGATGGGTTTCGAAAATGGGCCGCTAGCCCAGCACCTGATAACGTAAGATCCAGATTTTATTGGGTAGGGATGCATAATATTGGATGTTTTTTTTTTTTTTTTGCTGATGACCAATTATGCCAATGTATAATTACTAATTCGGCCGAGAACCAATACCGATATATCCACTTTTTTCACTTTTTCTTAGTAATCATCAAGTCTCTTCTGTCGTGGAATTAACATCATATTATGCATGCATGCTCTTATCGTGACGGTCCACCAGCAGATGCAGACATGAAATACAGCACTTTCCAATATAGGTAATATTCATTCATTGTGCAAAATAAGAAAAAGCATGTTGGGCGATTCTGATGGTTCTTTGTAAAGCCGATATTGGGTGGTACCAATGACAGACCGATATTATCAGCATGTTAGCTAATCTTGGCCGATACCGAGGACAAGCTGATATTATCGTGCATCCCTATTTTGGGATTTTAGTTATCGACAAAAGTCTCTTCAGAGCGCTCTTCCTCTCCAGAACAAACTGACCCAGTGATTTAAAGCAGTAAAATAACTAATACACTTAATAAAGCAGTTTCACATTTTAAAAAAAAAAAAAAAAAGTGTTTTTCCGATGCTGCTCATTGTGGAGGGACTGCTAACTACGTTGGCCA